CTGATGAATCAGAAAGGGACCCTGTTCTCCAGAATCTTCAGATCCACTGGAAAAGAAAACACTCGGATGACAGTATGTTTTTGGTCCTGAAGAAGGAAGAGATGACGTCCAGCTGTGGGAAATAGAGGCTGGTCTTGAGTAGGAGGTTGCATTTCAGCTGAAAGATGAAAGGCGGTTATTTGGGTATGGGGTTTGCCAAAAAGTCTGTTACTCTTTTTTTTTTTTCATAAAATAAGAGACGCGCTTTTCATTTTCACCAATAACTTTATTGATTTGGATATTTTGAGGATGTCGGCTATCTCCCACTACTGGCTTCTAGTGGGTAGAGGCCAAAGGTGCTGCTAAACATCTTCCAATGCATAAGACAGCCCCACAGCAAACAATTATTTGGCCAAAATGTCAGTAGTACCAAGAAACTTCACAAACCACTTTTGACATATTCAATCAGTCACAGCACCTTCTCCAAATGCTGCACAAATCTCTCTTTTTTTTGCATTTCAGTTGCGTTTTTACCTTTCTTGAAATAATAAAGCATAATACACCAAAAGTATGTGTTTTCTTCTACCTTCATTATTAAAATGGCTGCACAAAAGTTCACCAATTTTGTTAAGTTTTTAAAAAGTGCACGCTGATAATGACAGCTGTCACAATCCAAAAAAGTTGTTTCGAATAAAGTTAAAGACAACTAACCACTACTGGAGCCATCATGTGGGAAAAAAACGTAAAGGACTTTTTGGCCAACCCAACATTTTCTGTTTCATTCAGTATTCTCTTCGACCTGCCTTGTTAGACAAACTTGACATCTGACTGCTTAACGAACCCCCCTGTGCAAAGCCTGTTGGCGCTGCAGTTGATTTTGGATGTTTCTATTGTTCTGTGGTTTGGGATTGGGGTCACGTGGTCATTTGCAGGTATGGGCACTTATGGGCAGAAATGCAGGTATATGCATGAAACATAGGAAAACAGATTTCAGACAATAAATTAGTTTGTTGAACTGAAATAAAATTTTCCATGTTATTGCTTTTGTAATTGAGCCTATTTTAGCATTTGCATACAAATTAATCCATAGACCTAGGCAAATAAAAATGTTAATAAAATGTAAGGATACACTAGAACATTAATACTGAATTTGGTTAGGCTATTAATATTAGACTACATTACCTATATTTCTATAATGCAGGTTAATCTGAACATTTCTAAGCCAGTGAAAGACTTTTGGGATCAGAATTTTTAAAATTCAAGAGGATTTTATAATAATCTGTGGTAATAAAAACAGGAGAAATGTTTGGTATAGGAGGCAAATATGTATCTGTCCATTCCACTTCTCCGTCACCCTCTGCCACCTTAATACTCGAGAATGACTGCATCTGCATAATGATGATTTGATTCACTGTTATGGGAAATTCAGGTTTCCATGAAAGAAATGTGTGAGAACGTAACACGTAAATGAAATCTAGCATTTCTACCTGTACTTGCCTTGCACTTTTTATTTTTTACATCCTAATCTGAGGATATGTTTATTGATTTTAGAGAGAGATGAAAGGAAAGAGAAAAAGGGAGAAACATTGATGCAAGAGAGAAACATAGATTGGTTGCCTCCCGTACATACCTTGACTGGGAATTGAACTCACAACCTTTTGGTGCATTGATGATGCTCCAACCGAGCCACCCAGCCTGGGATACTTTCCTTGCTGTGACAGCCGTGCACTCCTACAGGAGCATGACCCGTATAGACTCCCATGTGAGTGACGGCCCTGGAACTTGTCTGATGCACAAACTGCATCACCGTCCAAGGCCACTCTGATTGCACAAAGGAGTAACTAAGAATGGGTCATTTCAGAAAAATTGTAAATCTATACTTGCCTTGACAACTTTTTTTTTTTTTTTTTTTTTTAACCAAAATCATTTACTTAACTCTCATCAGGAACACTTGGCACAATATTGTAAAGCAAGCCAAACTTTCCACCTTGCCCCACCCCCAAAATAGAAGTCAGCCAAGGCAGTGTATTTGTGGACACTGTGGATGATTGCTTCCCTAAAAGCCAATCTCCTCTCTTCAGAATTGCTAAGAACATGCCCCCCACAAAGTTTTATTCATATATTCTCTGTAGCTATGTGGTTTATGAGATGCTGAATCCTCCTTTGCTCAGGAGGTGCAACTGGGTAAGGGTCTTCAATACCCTTTGCAGCTTTAGTTTAGGGAAGGACATTTGGACAATTCTGGCCAATGAGATGGAGGGGAATTCTTGCTAGGGACCTCTGTGGAAAGGTTTCCTTGATTTATAAGAAGGAAGTGAGGGAAGGAGACACTTTTCCCTCCTTTCAGTTTTCAGACGTTACTGTGATACTTATGTTATGTGGAGCCCAGCAGCCATCTTGGGACCCAGCGCATGCGTATGCATATTGAAACACGTCTGTTTATCTCTATAGATTAGCTGGCTAGAGGGAGCCAAAGAAACCTTGGAGATCATCAACTCTAACCTTCTCATTTATTTTTGTTAAACATTTTCTGTGTTGTTTGGCTTATTAATATTCTCCAATGGCAATTACAACTGTTAAGCCAACCATTAGGTTTGGGAAGCAGTGATCAGCATGGATACAATCTGATTATTTGGTTACATGCCATTTCAGAGATAGACGCTTGTAATGTGTTTCCTTTAATTATCTAGTTATTTCTGGAATAGTATCCTACCAGAAATAATTCACTGGAGTGGACAGCTTATTTCTGGAGTATTAAAACAAACAAACAAACAAACCTGAACCCAAGCTTACGAAGATGGATGAATTTAATACTTACAGAATTGTAAAGGTGATTAGCAATGCTTATCCTTTGTATCTAAATATCATGTTAATGATGTAATAATAAATGACCTCATACTGTAAGCTACTGTTAGTCAGGTGTTCTATTCCTGGTGGTCAAAGGTATCTTAATGGATACAATCTGGGCAGGGAAAGATGTTTTCTCAGAGTTGCTGCAAAAATGGATGATGTGGAAATTATCAAGATTTTGTCCAGGAATCTGTTAGTGTGGGTTGGAGTTCAGAAAGAAATACTCCAGCTTTGTCTCAGATCTGGGAAAGTCTGAGCGAACCGCAGAACTGTGCTATTTTGCCCCCCCCCCCCTTTTTTTCTCTCCAGATGCAGTTTCCTCTTGTGTGTGTGTCTAACTGATGTGAACTGCATCAAAAGGCTCTCTTGCCCTCTGGCTTCCTGTTGGATTTGGCCATCGGGATGCGCCAGCAAGAGACTGGAGGAGGGAGGTGAGTGAGATAAAAATCTCCCAGCTTCCTCCTTGGGTGATTCTATCACTTGAAAAAAGGTCACAGGCGTCTGTCAGTCTGCCCTTTCTATGCTGAGTTTTTGCAACTGTTCCTTTCACCTTGTTTCTACAGATCTAGGAGCCTGTAGCCCCAGGGTCCCACATTCTCTTGTGGTTTCCTACACCCTACCTACAGCTTTGTAAAGTACCATTTGTTTCCTGTTAGGCCGTGACTGACACAATGGTGTGAACAAAATCACTGCAGCTGAGGAAGCTCAGCCCAAACTGCCTGAGATGTGGGGAGATTCTGTGGAGTTATTCACAGCTTAACGAAAGGCTTTCCCCAACCATTAAGGGGAGACAGGAGACTACATAAATGTCATGTGGAAGAGTGAAACAAAGTTACCATAGCTCAGAGAAAACACGTTCCGCCCGAAGACAAGGAGTCTGAAAAGGCTACCTGGAAGAGATGGTGTTTGGGCTGAGGATGGATAAGGATTTTAAAAGGCAGAGTATGAGTCAAGCCAGGAAGGAGAGCGAGCTCAGGAAGAATTTGTGAAAAATTAGTACTGAAAGGGGCCTAAGATGTTCTTTATGCAATTGTTCTCCCTCCACTTCCTTTACAGATTTGTAAGCTTGAAGCTGAGATTTTGGCCAAGGTCAAATAGCAAGGAAGAAGCATGCCAGGACTCTAGGCCAGGGCTACTAGCTACTAGGGTTGGTTCCTAATCTACCTTCTGTTTCCACTCCACCCTCCCTCACCCCACCCTACAAGACTGAGAGACACTAAGAGCAGGGCTTGTTTTCTTCATCCTTGAACCCCAGAACCTAGCATAATTTCTGGCATAAACTAATTGGCACAATCATCAGTTACCAAATGGTAAAAGCATCTACGCCCCTGCCAGGCACTATGCAGATATTTTGTGTGCACCGCATGTCATTTTCCCAGCAGCTTGGAGGGGTAGAATTATCTCCACTTTTCAGCTAAAAATGCTGCGGCTCAGAGAGGTGGTCTAATTTGCCCTGGGGCGCGCAGTGGGGTGCCAGGCTCTATTTTTTTACCTTTCCTCAAAGGGACTCCGGAGTCCTTGCCTCCATGGGTTTTCAATAACATTTGTTGAAGGAATGAACTAACAAGAAACACTGACTTAATGTAAGTGATCTGCTGTAACAGGCCACCCTGGAGGCCCCGCCACCTCCGGCCGTGGACTCAGCAAGTAGCCTCAAGTCCAAAGTACACCCGCTCCTCTCAGTACCCCTTGTTCAGGCTCCACCCCCGACTCCGCCCGCCGTACCAGCCACGCCTCCACCTCAGAGAGTTGGATCTCTCTTCCTATCTGAGTTTTCTTTTGGCTCCAGCTGCGGCAGAAGGGCCTCTCGGCCCTGGGCCCGGCTATCTGGGGTTGGTTCCACTGCCCTGCCCCTCCTCACACCCTCCCTCACTCTACAAACTTCTTTTTTCACCCTCTTTAAACTTCAGTCATCTCAGTGCCCGCCTCCTCCACTCCAGCCAGCCAATCGGGGGTTCTCATTCTCCGCGAGGGTCCGCCCTCCGCCCGCCAGGGGCCAATCCCCCCGCGCGAGTGTCGAGTGCTGGGGCTCGTTCCCAAGCGCCTGGCTTGTGACGGCAGCGCGCTGGGCGCCGCGCGGTGGGAGGGGGCGGGGCTCTGGGTGAGGGGCGGGCTTGGGCGGGGGAAGGGACGAGGGAGGTGGAGGTTGCGGCGGGTTTGAAAGCGGCAGTTTCCTGGCAGCTTGGGCAGGCGTTGGTCTCCGAGCTCAGGCTCCACAGCAGCGGCAGCGGTCGATCCAACGAGGGGTCTGCGCGTAATTCCGCGCGCTCCCTACGGATTTTTCCCGACCCGGCTCTTCCCTCTTGACCTCCCCGCCCCCCGTCCTCAGCCTTTCCCGCCGCTGGGCGCGGAGCCCGGGGGGCCAGCGGTCGCCCGTGACCCCGCCCGAAACCCCTCCGGAGCCGCCTGGGGACAATTCCCTTCTTTCTGCAGTCTAACCCGGGTAGCCCTCCCGGAGCCCAGCCAACCCCGAGGAGCGCAGCTGGGAGGGGCGTCCGAGGGGAGTCTTGGGGCTTGGAGTGGCCCGGCCCCCAGTGGGCTGTGGTCGAGGGGGCGCGGGAGCGGCGAGGCCCCCCTCGCCGGGCTGCGTGGGCCGCCCGGGGCCCCCGCCGCCCGCGCGGGGTCTCCTCCATGGTGCAGCGGGGTTCGGGATGTCGAAGACACTGAAGAAAAAGAAGCACTGGCTCAGCAAGGTGCAGGAGTGCACCGTGTCCTGGGCCGGGCCCCCGGGCGACTTGGGCGTGGAGATCCGGGGCGGCGCGGAGCGCGGCGAGTTCCCCTACCTGGGGCGGCTTCGCGAGGAGCCCGGCGGGGGCACCTGCTGCGTCGTCTCGGGCAAAGCGCCCAGCCCCGGAGATGTGCTGCTAGAGGTGAACGGGACGCCTGTCAGCGGGCTCACCAACCGGGACACCCTGGCTGTCATCCGCCACTTCCGCGAGCCCATCCGCCTCAAGACCGTGAAGCCTGGTATGCCGGCCCTGCCTTTCTGGCTCGGGGTTGCGGGGAGGTCCGGGTGGGCATCCAGGGAGTGGTGGCCCCTCCCTAACGCTTATCGACTTGGGTAATCTTAGACCTCTAGGGTGTGCCGGACTCCCTGGCGGCGGGAGGGTGGCCGTGGTGATCCCATTTTTGCCGCCCTGGAAAGCTGAGCTTTGGATTGCTCTGCGAGCTGTCACAGAATTGTGACCACAACCTGGGTTGCCTACATTTGCAGCTCAGTCTCCCATCACGGAGTTTTTGACTCGGGAGAGAAAACCTGCCCTTTTCTGCTCTCCTTGGTGGAAGAGGTTCTCACGATTGTAGCACTGTCTTTGGAACTGTCTTGTGCGTTTGCTAACAGGGAAAAAGGTCTACTACTGAGGCACTTGGTGCTAAGGTTACCAGCGAGGACTTAGCTGCTTCGGTGTTTCTTGCACACTAGCCACACCTCGGAGCTGACAGCCTAACTCTGCCCAGGTGGTTCAGGTGTCTGGGTACTGACTGTGTTCGCTGCGTGATAAGTGACCGGGTGTTGTGCTCCTGTAAGGAGCTGTTGAGTAGACTGGGTTTCGAAGGAAGAAGATCTAGGTACCTCGCTGGGAAAAATCTTGTGTAAATCTTTGATTTTACAGAATTTCTTGAAGTGGTCAGTAAAAAGGGCCCCCCATTGCCCTGGTATCTTTTATGCTAGTGAAATCTGCTGCAAAACACGTTACGTAGATGACATTCTTGTCAGTTTCAAAGCATGGATCAGCCTGTGAACCATGAAATCTGATAGTGTGTAATAGTCCTTACGTATTTGTAATTGACAACAGAATTGGTCGGTTTCAGCATTGGTAGAATGTGGTTCTGTTTTCTGAGATGTTTATAGGAGAGAGAACAACGTTATTAGAAATCAGACTATTTTCGCTGAATGTGCTCTACTGAATATACAGTGCATCAAAATATAATGGGCTGCTTAGTTGTGACTTGGGCTAGAAAAATCAGTCCATTCCTTCACCGCCAAATGCTAGAAAATTCTGGAGAAAAATTTAACATAATCTTCCTCCCCCTCCCCCACCTTTCTCAGCTGTTCACTTTGGAAATATCTCTTTAATAGTCCTTGGACTTAATCGCAGCTGATGGCTTGTGGTGCAGTGTACATATGTGTATGTACTGTGGGTCTCTGCACAGACACAGTCAAATGTTCCTGCAATCTTAAATTAAGATTTTCTTCATATGGTCTGTTCCATTACATTCATTTTAAGTTTATTGGTTTTTGTGAGGTTTTCTTTTTGTTGGTGTTAATCTTAAAAACTTTGGCAGATTTAAACATCTTTTTCTGAATAGTTTTGTGAATCCAAAAATTCTTTCTTAAACTTTTAGAGGAAAGGCTTTGGGACTATAATCCAGTCAGTCAGCTTCTGTCTGTAATGTGCAAAATACTATATGTTCAGCACTTACTGGTCTAGGTGCCATTTAGTTCAAACCTGAGGAGTCAGGGAATAATAAGAGCAAGAGCATTGTTGCTTTGTGTTTTGTTTGATTAGTTGGGACATAGGTGAGAATATAACTTATTTTCAAAAATAGTTTACAGTTGATTGAGGAGGAAGTTCATAAACTGGGGAGATGTATCTTTAATTAATATTAGCAATCTTTATACCAAATTTAAAAAAATATTTCTGATTTTGAGTATATTTAGTAATATTAGTTGTATTGAGTAAACACTACTGTCTTATTTTAAATATTTAGCCAAAATAAAGGAATAATTTATGTTAATTGACGTAGCACACTTTATAATCATTAACAGTAAAAAATAAATACTTTACCTACTTAAAAAATTTTTTTTATCCTCACCCAGGAATATGTTTATTGTTTTTGAGGGAGGGAGGGAAAAATCGATGTGAGAGAGACACGTTGATCGGTCGCCCGTATGGGGGCACCTGGACTGGGCATGGAACCTGCAGCCTAGGTATGTGCCCTGACCAGGAATCCAACACGCGAAGTGTCCGGTCAACAGAGCCACCTGGCCAGGTGGTACCTACTTTTTAAAGATACGCTCTGCTTTAATAATTCCTAAAGGATACCACAGTGTGTCATTGGAGATTAATATTCTTGTTTCTAAGCAAGTTGTAATTAAAAACTTTAATCTCTTAAAACTAGTATTCTTGATTTCTTAATAGCCTCATGGTGGGCGTTATGTTAAAATGTCTTTTTAAAGGGCTTTGCTTAAATATTTGTTATAAAATAGCAGGATTTTTGCAGGTTAAGCACATGACTTTAAACATTAGAAATTAAGGACTTGGAGAAGATAATAGAACTTTGAGTGTGATTAAAAACCACGTAAATTTTATCTCCAGAGAAGACAAAGATTCTATATACTGTTGGGATCAAGTTTGAAAAGCATGAAAACACAGAGTAGGGGTATTTAGAAAGAAACTTGCCCTGCATGTTGTTTTTTTTCCTTTTATTTAAACTTTAGGAGAGAAATGGATATTTCAATATGGTAAGGCATTGAAAAGTGTAGTTAGCACTGTCTTGTTTTGGTTAGTAACTCTTTATTAAACTGTATTCATAACATGCCATTTAGAAACTAGCACAATGCAAGAGTAAATTTAACTGTTGTTATAAGATATAATAATAATGGGGAATGATCTCATACTGTCTTCTGAGAAAGCCCGCGGGGGAGGGGTGCGCTGGGCTGCGGGGCAGGCCGCTCAGCACTGGTTCTGCCATGGGAGATGTTAAGGGACGCCCAGCCAATGCCAGCACTGTCACTCAGGTGACTGAATGGAGCTTTTTTTTCCTGGCAGTGACTTGTCTTTAGCTTTGATACAGGGATTTATTTATTTATTTATTATAATCTTTAATGGTGATTTGAAAGTAACTCTTTAAAATATGATTCGTAATTTGAGGCTTTTCCTGAGAGAATTAGGGAATTTATTTTTAAAGATTTTATTTATTTTATTTTTAGACAGAAGGGAAAGGAAGGAGAAAGAGGGAGAGAAACATCAATGAGTGGTTGCCTCTCGTGTGCCCCCTAATGGGGACCTGGCCCACAACCCAGGCATGTGCTCTGACTGGGACTTGAACCCGTGCCCCTCTGGTTCCCAGGCCGGCTCTCAGTCCACTGAGCCACACCAGTCAGGGTGGGAATTAGGGAATTTCTTACACTGACTTCTTATTTAGTATTAATATAGTACTGTACACCAGTACTTTCCTGCTCCTAGGAGAATCTTCAGTTCCACCGATGCTCGATCCATCCAGTCACCTATATTTCTTAATTACAACTCTTGTTTATTTTTCTGCAAAGAGAAAAATTTTCCCTTGAACTTTGTATTTGCCTGGTAGTAAAGGAAGTTGAACTTTGGACTGCTGGTGAGATTGTTTCATGATATAGTCCTATGACCAAAATTAGTTTTCTTTGATTTTACTTCCAAGTGTGTGTTTTTAAACAATTTCTACCCCTTGTGTTTCAGATCTTTTTGTTGTTGTTGTTTTTGTTTAGTGGGTAATTTGGGACTTGTGGTGAGTTTTGTTTAGATGGTTGTAATATTTGAAGAAGGGAAGGGTGAGAGAAATTAAATTGCTAGCTTCCTAAGTTTGCAATAGGAAAAATTTTCTCATACCCATTTTTAAGGAAAAGAAATTAGAGATTGGGTGAGGCAGCCCTTGGTAGGAAAAATAGCATCAAACTTTGATAAACCTTAAATTTGAAACTTTCCTTTTTTCTCAAATTTTGGTAACATTTTTGGGGGTCTAAAATTGGTCTTAATAACTTAAGGTTCAAGTTCTGGATTCTCCTTACTGACGCATGCAATTCACGAGCACTGGGTTTGCCCTAGTGGCAGAACAAACAGTTAACCTTTGGCCCTTCCAATTTTCAGATCATTTTTACTTTATTCATTTTAATGCTAAAACTGATTTTCTTGGCACATTCTTCTGTGTTCCTTGGGAAATACATATTGTTTTTCCTCTGAGATCTTGGGATGTACTTTGTAAAACCTCTTGTTACAAGAGACAAATTTCAGTTATTTCTTCCCCTGATACTATGAGGGGTTCACAGGCCAGCACCCCTCCCCGCCCCCACCCCTGGTCTCTAATTTATATAAACTGATGGTAAAACAAATCTATATTTGTTCCAGTATCTGACTTGTGAAGTCAATACTCAGTCTCAGGTGACTAGTTTCACGTAATAGCTTTACTTTATTATGCCTAGGTGTTTTGTAAGTTTTGTGGACACTAGTGTTTTGATAGTGTGTTGTAGGTAGAATTTCATGTTTATGAACCATGTCAATATCGCCTGTCAATTTTGTATTGTGATTTGACAAAAGATAAGTGTTTTGGTATTGAAGACTAGAACTGTGTCTCCATAATTCATTGGTTATTTTTGTTTTTCTCCTAAAACTTTGAGAAATAGTTTCCTTGCAGTACTGAATTTTGGTAGAGAAAATGAATGTCCTCAATTAAAACTGTTCCTAAGGATAAGACTCAGTAGCTTGGAGGCTGGTGTTGTGAGTGACTTGATGGAGGAAGAGAGGCAGATTCATTGCTCTTCTTCTCCTTGAACAAATATTATTCAGAATGTTTTCCAAAAAAAAAAAAAAAAGTGCTTATTTTGCTTGAAAAAGAGAACATAAAAAGTTACGTTATTACTGGCACACCTCCATTCCCTTCTCATTTAGCAGCGCACTCACCATGTGGGCGAGCACTAGAGATACAAAAACGAGTCAGAAATCGTCTCTGTCTTCAAGAATCTCGCAGTGTAGTGGGAGCCTAGTGATTCAGTGGTAAGGCATACCTGTCGTAAGGGTTTTGTCTTCTTCACTTTCTCCCAGTTCTTAAGTAAAACTCTTGAGGCAAGTTTTCATATGAATTGGGGTGGAAGCTAGAGGAATGAGTTTGTTGCATAGTATGCTCTCCTAAAAATGGTGCAGAATTCCATCTTAGGATTTGGGTTCTCCAGTCATTACAAAAGGAGGGAAATTGAATATAAACAAAATTATCTT